CACTCCTGCGGACAAATGCTGGTGGCACATGGTGACACATGGTGGGCTTTGGTGAAACCGTTTCACCCAGTAAAACATGACAAACAAGATCCGGATAAACATGCACGCAACATGAGGTATAGCAACCCGCACAAAGATAGAAAAGTAATTTCCCACCAAATAGTGAGAAATTAGATTATGTTGTCTTTTCGGGGTTACTATACCTGTCCTTCTACGAAATATCTACCCTCAACTTGTAGGTGTGATCTGAAGGCCAACTGTTTATGGGCAAAAAGTAGTATGTGGTCTTTGAGTCTGGTTTTCCTAGTTTGGGTCTTGGTATGATCATGTTTCCTCCATAAATAGCCATGGCTTCACTACATGAAAATTGGGAAATGCCAGCTGCCACCATTCCCCCCACCTCGAAACGTTCATCATTGAAGGTGCGGGCAATGGCGGTCTGTTCCTGACACCTTACCAGGGTAGCACCATCCCATCAAGGTCATGTGAAGAAAAGCTGCGACAGAGTGGCTACTCTTGGACACTTGGAAGACTTGGAAGGATCCAAATGTGCCACATGATGCCACATGTTGAGCTCCGCCAAAGGATATGGTCTAAGTCAGCCATAAAATCTCCCAACCCCCCCTCCCCTCCGAGCAGTGACCCGGGTCCCCCAGCATCATCGGATCGCAGGGCAGCTCCAATTGTCGCGCCTGTGAGCTTCGCTAGGTGGGAGGCCACAAGGTGAAAAGACATAAAGTCTTCTGCTGCTGCTGCTGCTGATGATGATGATGATGATGGTGGATGAAGTTTCATTGGGATCCCGGTCATCTGTCATAGCAGTTTATGACAGCTATGAACACAGCCTGGGCTCGAGCGATTAAATGCTGTGGCCATGGCTCCAGGCATCTGCGCGGACCTGGCCGCTGCGCGGCGGATCTCAGTCCAAAAGTTGCCGAGTTGCCATTGGAAACTGCCCCACTTTGGAATGGAAACCATTCAGAGACCTCAATGAAACCATTGGAAACCATCTAGAATCTATACATATTACTGTATATATATATATATATTTATTTATTTATTTATTTATTTATTTATTTATGTGTGTGTGTGTGTCACCTTTTGAAAACCATCATTTCGCACTAGGCTTGGAGGCCCCTTTTTTTTTGCCCTGGACAGCGCTGCCTATGAGTTTCACCAAGCTTTGGATCTCCATGGCATCGTGCTCTCTTTCGAGGTGCCCAGGTAGGCGCCCCCTCGAAACGGCAGGATTTTTGTTGGAAAAGATCGACAAAGAAATTATCACAAGTATCATTCTATCTATATGATATATATATATATATATATATCGATGCATATGTAAGTATATATGTTGACATTATGTATTGATATATCATGACAAAAGAATACCATAGTTTCAACCTGTATAAAATCATGTTTTCTATGGCTCACCTACAGTTGTGATACTGATAGTTAACAGTTACACGGGTCGGATTGGTAAACTTTCCTCAGCCTTTGGCCCATTTGGATGGTCCTCGCTTTGGGAAAATGATGCCCCCACCCCCATGCGGGTTCTGGAGCCGGAAAAGGATGGATAGTGCCGGCGGATTTGATTTCACACCGCACAGGCAGCACAGGCAGCCCTCATAGGGAATGAGGGCTGCGAAAATGGTGAAGGACATCTTGCAACACACAAGCAGCATAAGGTCATTGTAACATCTCTGATTGCAAACAAAATTCCAATAAGGTTGAAACCACCCATGATCCCCCCTGGTGCACAAGCTTCCCGCTCCCCACACAACACAGCACGGAATCATTTGACCACGTCATTTCAGGTTATCATTCCAGGCGCGCGCGTTTGGCCAATGGATCCTGCATCGACGCCAAAAGTCAGCCGCAAAACGTCCATCAATTCAACTTTAAGGGCAAAGGATGTGAGAAGAAGAATCATAAGACATCATAAGACGATATAAGACCTTACACCCCACACCATTTCTATCAAACATGCGACTTGACTTCGTATCATATATTTAGTCATAGTCCCAAAATCTGGCAAATGTGAGGCACCCTCGAGAAAGGTGAAGCAGTGAGGCTGCTGTTCGAACGTGAAAGACATCATGTGTGGCATGACAGGAAAGATAGCAGATAGATCAGATAGCAAAGCTTCTCCCAGACGGCCCTCAAACCTTCCCCGAACCTTTCCCAAGCAATGCAACATGGGTTGTAAATTTGATGCGGCCTCGAGGCTGTTCATCAAATCTGCCTGGCAAATGCTAAGGGATCTGAGGGCTGCTTGGCATTTACCAAAGTCAAAAGCCACGGGACCATCTTGGGAGGATAAACATGGATCAACTGGATGAACATCCATGTGCCACATTTTGGCCCCTTACTCTGGTGCTCACTAGGGCACAAGGGTTCTGACCCACGTCCATTTCCAACTGGCGTACAGTCCCAACTCAATGATCTGTAACCTACCTGAGACAAGCGAGGGACTGGAACACGGCCCACTGGAAGGTTACTTTCCCGAGGTCCTGTTGAGAAAAAAGGTGGGGTCCACTTGTCCCCTTCCATCATCCGCATCATCTCCAAACAAGCCAACGTTGGATCCAGTACCTTCGTGCGAAGGGTTTCTCCGACACCCAGACTTCCTCTCGGATGTCTTGGTCTTTGATCTAAGGTGGTGGAATCCCATAAACACCATCCCAACCACATTTCAAGCATGACAGTTTTCCTCATTCCAGAAAGGACCACAGCTGCAAAGCTGTCAATTGCCATCGTGCATCTAATTCAGCCACGCCATAGACACGCAGCTCCTGGGCTAGATCTTTAGTTCCGGGCCATGGCTATTCGGGGCTGCGGCTGATCATGGCTACATCGGCTCTTCGACGACTTCGCATCGGGATCTCCGGGAGCTCTCCCTTCGCAGAGGAGTCCAAAAGGTTTTAAAATTTCTCAGCGAGTCATACAGGCATCCCCTCCCGGGGATGATGTGTTCTCAGGCAATAGGGGGACAAAGTGCTTGTGGATGCTTGATGATGCTTGTGGCAATGTCGTTGCAACCTGCCCTCCCCTGCAATGTGGCTGGCAAAAGTCAAAGCACTTTCCAAGGGGATCTCTAGCAAGACAGGTCCAGGACTTCCAACGATGGAATGATCAGATATGATCAGTACTAGCAGGTGATCTTCCTATCATCAATCCCTCCAACATCTTGAATTCCACCATGCGCCTTTTTGGGTCAATCAACATGGCTATCACTGGACATCCTGGACATCCGGCCATTGGATCCATTGGGATCCTGGGGAATTTTGGGGGTCACTTCTGGTCTCCAAACTCCTTGATAAAAGCCATCAAGTCGTCGTAGCCGTATCTTGTGTCGTCACCATCATCCTGGAACTGGGGACTGATGGGACTGGAAACCATGAAGACTGATGGGCATCTGATTCTTACAGCTGGGAGATCCTGCGAGCACCATCTGGGTTGCCTTATCTTGTCTTTTTGGGTTGGTTTCTGGGAAGAGCTGACCCCCATCCTGTTCGTGTTTGGGGTTCATCCATAGATATCCACGGCCCACGGTTCCTTTAGCTTCATCATCAGCCACTGCATAAAATCGATGTCCGCGTTGGTGGCCATGACTCCTTCAGGGTTTCGCGACATGCTGTGAATCCTCCCAGGTAAGAGCCTCAATTCGGGATTCACCATGGCCTCGCGGCAGAAAATTTCACTTCCAATTCTGTGATTTAATTCACCAGGAACCGACCCAGATAGGGCCGCACCCCAATCCATGATTGCAACAACTCAACACCAAGGAGGTGAAAAATCTCCAAAAACCCCAGTCCAATTTGCATAAACATCTGCTTTGGCATCTTCGCATCATTGTAGAAAAAGGTATTCTTCAATGTCTCCACAAAATCCGTGTCAATGTCAAGATCATCCTGTCAGGCGCTAAGGCTGGACTTTTCGAGCCCAGTCTTCCACGGGAGCACGAGAAACAGGATGGAATTGAGAGATGAGAGACTTGTTTGTTGGTTCATTTTACCAAGCCCATTTCATGCGCATAAACTTTGGCATAAACCTTCTCGCTCCTTCTAAGCCATCCTTCAGTTGAAAACAGTAAGAAAATAACAATAAGAACAAAATGAAAGCCAAAACGGAAGCCACCAACTACATTACTGCACATGAGCGCACATCATGACATTACCATACCTGGATAAATTGCAAGATGATTCACTCACCTGAAAAGTTTTAAGAAATCGGAAAAAAATACCACAATCCAATCCAATTCCAATCTAGATAGCAGATAGCGAATAAATCATTGATATCTGGATTGTTGTTTACTATCCTATCCTCTCTCTCTCTCTCTCTTTCTGTCGGGCGTGACTGTCCGCCATCCTATGAGGACGCCCCAAAGAATCACTAATGCAAGCCAATTGTTCGCACAGCTGAAAAGCCCTGGCAATCTACCTGTGATGGAAATGTATAGGTGTGCAAACATCTGCCAAGAAAGGCAGGAAAGATTTACAGGGACGTAAGAATGCTACTCATCCACAACAGGTGTTGTTGTTTATTACCCTAATGTGTATATAGTATGCATATATATATATGTGTGTGTGTCATTTAATCAATAATCCAGATATCAATAATTATTATATTGAATTACAGCCCATATGATCCCAGCATATTCCAGCCTCCATTGGCTTTCGTAACATCCCATGATTGCAGAATCATCACATCAATGGCATCCCCTGTCCTCATCCCCTGGCGGGTCCAAGTCGTCAGCGTCGAAGCTTTGCATGTCGTCCTCCTCCCCGTCCTCCCCTGGCAGCTCGACATCAGCGCCATCATCGTCGTCAGGGGTGAAGTCCACCTGGAGATTGAAACCATAGAAATTGCCATTGGACCATTGGAATCTCACCATTGGAAACGAGACGAAACCCTCATTCTTTATGTTTTCACCAATAGCTTGTTTCCCTTTTTCCTTTAGATACTGAGGAATAACGCATGATGGCCGGACACAGCAACAGCGGGTAATCAAGGTTGGAAAAATGCTCTGCTAAAATGGTATAAAATAGTGACAGTGCTGGAGCTAACGATTTCAAGGATGTCTTCCAAGTAGATATTGTTGGGTAAGTGTTTAGGTTTAGATTCTTCGATGTATGTGCGTTTTTGGGCACGCTTGGATGCCCATAACTTTTGGCATCCAAAAACTATGTCACCATGTCAAACTGAACTATTACTTCATCAAATGGCTACCCGGCTACCAAATATGATTTCCGGCACCAAAGTACCACATGCACCACGTTCGCCGTTCCTCCGGCCGACCTCAGTGAGGCCTTTGATGGCATACTGGCTCCCAATGTTGAACTCCTGACTGGCGATGTAGTCGTAGGGCACGTATCCTTCGTCAAACTCGGGGATGTGAAATTGAGATTAGATGAAGGCTGACAAAGGTTCAGATAGATAGAAACGATATCTGCATGAGATCAGAGCAGATCCTCATGATTGGGGATGTATCCCGCGCGTCTCCCTGTATTGTCATGTTTTTATACAATGTCGCCCCCCAACAAGCAAGAATGGCAGGAAATACGCATGTTCACCCAATTTCACCCAGTACACCAAGTATCCATAGCCTTGATCTCCCCAGGATGTTCCCCAGGAATTTCGTACAATGAAGATGCTTTGTCGATCATTGTATCCCACCAACAGCATGGCATGTAGCCCATGCGAAGCACTCTGCGGGTCGTTGGGGTCAGGCGTGGCGCAGTAGCCCTGCCGTGGCTGGAAGAAGCGCTGCGTCAGCTTCAGGCCGAAGACAATAGGATGACCCTCCGCCAGGCAGCGACGCATGCAGTCCAAGTCCACGGGAATGCGGGTGGCCTCAAGAACCTGTCAGAGTGGGTCTGATACCACGAAAGGGAAGAAGTATAGGAAACATATTAGATTCTAGATTCTAGATATTATTAGATATATTAGGAAACATATGGAAACATGAATTAAAAATCATGGTAATTCGATAGAGATATTGGAGAATTATTCCTCGGATCTCCTCGGATCATTGTGGAAGAAAAGCACTAAATTCACCTGACCGATCAAGGCCATGGTTCACCAGAGACTTCACCAGAGAAGAAATGGCAATTCAATGCAATTCACACCAGGCTAATATACTCTGTTACCTACACCACAGCTGTCTCAAACCACATGCAGCCGTATCATATCGTCTCGGGGGCCGAGCGTGTTCAACCATCTGAACAAATCAACTAGCGGAACAAGGGTAATCAAACATGGCCCGCATGGCAACCCATTTAAACCTTGATCGCAGGGTAGGTCAACCTTTCGGCCCTTAAATGTTCGGAGCTTTCGGCATTTTCGGCCCACCTTGAACCTTTGAGCTGCCTTGAAGCAGTCATCGTTGGGTTTCTTGTTCACATGGTTGAGGTCGTATGGCCAGTCTGCCTCCATGCATGCACCATGAGTCTGCATGGCAGTTATGGCACCACCAATACTCATTCCATCGTCGGCCAAAGGACCTGGGACGTCCATTGAAAAATTGCATCATTTTCATCTGTTATCTCTGAGTTGGGAAATCAAAGTTCTGGGGTTGCAAGTTTGGGTATCCACTTTTGACCCATGTCCGCCTTTTTCATTCCAATCTTTTTGGTCCTTCTTGCGGCCAACGTAGTAAATGAACAGCCGCGAGATGTCAGCGGGCGTGTCACCATTTCTCTTGCAGTGGCGCATGTTGATGTACTCGAAGGCTCCTGGCGGCACTCAGCGGCCCATCAACATTCAATGCATGCAGTGATTGGCCCTTACCACTGCACACTGGTCGTATAGTCCCACAGCGTTCCCTAAGATTCAGTCTTTGGCTCTCGTAGCGGGTCTGGGCCAAACTTGGGTGCAAAATGTTGAACATTGTTGAGCGATTCAATCCTCGCGACTTACTCATCACAGAGTTGAACAGTCTCCGCCCTCCGACACAAAAAAATAACAATAATCATGAAAATCGCTATTCTTCACTTCACCCATCTTACCCATCTTGTTCTCCCATGTCTCCCATGTCTCCCATGTCTCCCATGTCTCCCATGTCTCCCATGTCTCCCATGTCTCCCATGTCTCCCATGTTACCAATTTCGGGCACCTGCCACAGCATTGGCACAGCAGCTGTTGGCTTGGCTTTGGTCTTCCACTGGGCTCATGTGATTTCTGAGGTCCACTTTTGATGGCAGGTCGCCCGACTCCGTGGGCTCGTACTCCTGGCCACGGCCACGCCACACCGACAGGAAACAGATTTTTGTATCAGATAGGAAACCACATCCCTAAAGCTCTGATATGACTGAATTTACAACCAATATAGATTCATATCAGTATATGTTTTAGATTCATACCAGTATATGTGTTATGTTGATATTTGATGATATTTGTTTTGATTTACTGGGAATTGGACCCACCCGTTGTGAGTTTCCCATCCACCCAGTAGCCCTTCCTTGCAGACCGCAGGTGGTGGCCCCCCAGGTTTCATGCCATAGGGTGCGAAGGTCTTTCCGGAACACATCACGCGTTTCTTGCTGAGTTTTTTCCTGGCGGCTTGCGAAAGGTATATTATATATTATATAATATTATATATCATTACGATCAACCCACCAGTATACTTTTTTTCTAACTATATATGATATTATATGATTACTGTATTTATCTAGCTATACCCAGTGAGAAGTAACCAGTAACAATCACTAGATTAAGATTGATTAACCAGAACCACATAATCAAAATGCAGTTGCCGGTCGTTTGGGTTTCGCATCCCAGTTGCAAAGTGATGGGGGAAAAGATGGGAAAAGTGTCCTGAAAGCAAACATGAAAAATCATGAAAACCTCTGGAATCGCAAGCCAGTGTCTCAACCCCCGGCACCATACATGCCGAACATCCCAGGTTCTGACCCATGGCGCCGCCACGCCGCACTTCGCAAAAAAAGTTGTTTGAGTTTAAGCAGCTGAGAAAAACGGATGGATCCAAGGACAAAAACAGCGATGCTTAACACAGTGAACCTAGCCAAATATGTTTTCATAAATTTTCATACCACGACAAATCCTATTCACTCTGACTGACCCTCCTGGATTCCAAGAAGTATCCTGACTTTGCTCATTCACTGAGGTGCTTAGTCAGTTGATTGCGAGCTTAGTTGATTATCTACATTGTTACATCTACTGATCCTTTGTCTCTATATCTGCGCCATTTGGGCCTCTATATCTATGTCTCTCTACATCTACTACGTCTGCATGTACCCCAAATCTGTTCCTAGAAATGCTTCTTTAGTGCATGTGTATCAAACTTGGCAATTGGGCTTGCCAATGTTCAAAAGGAAAGCACTTTCCACTCAACAGGCTTAGTTACCGGCGGGTAGGTGGTTGAATGTCAGGATGCATGATGCCATGTATGTTTGCACCTCATCTACAGACTAGTGACTATGCAAATGTATCTGGGTCCATGTTTGAAATCCAGGCGACCCAAAATTCAGTTTTGCGTGTTAACAGTGTAAACGATCCATAAGTATGAGCGCGCCCCGAAAATATATACATAGATATACAATAGTGTATGATTAATTTGGTGAGTTGCATATATCGTGTTTAATAGCCCATTGGTTGGATTAATACCTTAACAAAAGCATATAGCTATGGATATATCATGATATATCCACAGTTATTATGTTTACATATTTGATCATATTTGTAGATATGTTGATAAATAATGTCTCGCCTGCACCTTGGCTGCAGCAATGGCACTGTTGGGATCCTCACCACGATGCAAGGCCTGGTGGAGTGACAAAACATTGTGGTTTAACGCTGTGACCCTCGAAAAGACTTGGGTTTTCCATGGTTGTCCATGGTTTTTACGGTTTAAGCCTCAAAAAACGGCTCGTATGTTACGGTTTGACATGGTTTCACCAACCAAAATGTCGCTTTCAGGATTGGTTTTGATGGGGATGTGGGAAATCGACTGGAAGTCATTTTTTTGGACACAAATATGAGGTGTCAGTCGCCAACAAAAGTTGGGACTTGAAGACAATTTAAGCAAGAAAGAGGAGATGCTAAGAAATAGGAACTGGGGTGAGGGTTTAGGCGCCAAAATGCCTCTTGAGCCAACAAGGGCAGGGGACCAGATTTCATCACAAATTCCAAAGTCGGAGGGGCAATTCTGTTTATGGTCCCCAACCTTATTCCACTACAAAGCCAGCAAACCGGAACCATTTCATTCTAATTACTCCCATTTCTGTCGGTTAGAATCCTGGTGACTTACCCAATTTCCTGTGACCTATCTCCACCCATGGAGGCAAGGCATGCACACAAAGTAGCAGGAGGATACTTTACATTCCTCTTTTAGTGCGCACAATTCTGGCTGGTTCTACTGCCAGTTAAAAGCATGCTGGTTTCAACCCCTGAACCACGAGAACCCGCTCCTCCCCAGATGGGCCTGCTTTCCAGCATCTAAAAGCTTTACCGAGCTGCGTAAGGGCATCTTGGATAAGAGCTGCAGTGTTTCATCCTGCCCCAAAATGGTGTCAGGGGCCTTGATCCGGAAAAGATTGGATTTCACGTATCAAAAGCTGGGAGTAAACCCGCCATGGAAAGAGATTTGGCAATTCACCCAGGGGAAGTGTTGAAAGAGACTGGGCATGACGAGTTGATCAAAGACATGCATATTTTCAGTGTGTTACCCGGCAAGATTGCCAGTGGCATCAAAATTGAGGTTGAACATGCTTATATTAATATCTATATTTATGTCTATATCTATATTTATATCTATATCTATATCTATATCTACATAGTTATATTAAACTCACAAGAACCAGGGATTCAGCCACAACCACTGGCGACAAAAGCCTACAAATCTCATGGACCTGTCATACGGGGGTGGGGATAGTCATCTTGACACCTTGCTACCAAAACCTGCCCACAGCATGGCTGAAGAGCTGCTGTCCTCCAAGTTCAAACCCATCTCCACGGCTTTTTGTCTGGCACCCCGGAACGAAACTGGCTGACCGTTCGTGTGATACTGTTCGATACTTTTTGGATGCTTTTGGTAGCGTCTCTTCCCAAGGGATGGGAATGTCATACGGTAAACTTCGACAACGGAAACGCCTGGAAGAAATCTAGACTATAGTGAGTAATCTATAGGCTACGGGGGGGGTATTAGTGGGGTGTCTGGTAGTCCTTGGCAGTAATATGCAGTAATCCACAAGTCACCCTTGATGGTGCCGCTATTCACCAATTGACGGCTGCATCCACATGCATCCTTGCCTTGTCTGATTGCCGGTGAAGTTTCGGCTGCCAGTGCCTGGTTACGACTTCCGACTGACGATTTGAAGATTCACCCATGAACATGACAGCTATAACTCATGACAAGTGCCAGTTGGCCCCAAATGAGTTATCACAATTATCACATGAATATCACCTTAATCGGGCCTCAATCCGAAGATTTTTCACCCGTGCTCGCCCAATCCCACCTCCTTCCCGGATGATTTTGGCCACTGCTGCCTGGAAGGCTGGCCCCAAAAACCAGCCGAATGGAGAATGAGTCCGTAGTATAATGTGGTAAATCCACTCTATACGTACCAAGACCCTCCAATGATACATTTATTTGTGTATCGTTTTTTTTGCTCATGCTATGGATTTTCGTTCGTTTGCCCAAAAAAAACAGTTCGTTTGCAGAGAAAATGCCCGAAGGGTTTCATTCCTTCTTCATTGTCAGCTGGGTTTGCAACAGTTTTTAATTGGCATTTTTTTTCGCAAATTTTCGCTCGAATCAAAGCGAACAAATCATTTTTTTCAGTCGAGCTTGGGTGGCCAAGAGAAAATAGGTTGAACTCAGGAAAATTGTTCGGAACAGAAATTGGTGCTACGAATTGGAAAAAGTGTAGCGAGTTGTCGGTTTTCGTATCGGATGACAAAAAAAAAGTGCTACGGTGGAAGGTCTTGGTGTATAATCAAAGGAAGTTGAGTTAGTAAACTTCCGAGGTACGGACGATTGTCATGGCCAGCATTCTCAATTCTCATGCATTCTCACCATCATGTCAACCACATCATCATGTCAACCACATCAACATGTCATAGTTATAGTTGGGAAATGTAACAGGTCGGGAACGCGTGAGTTCAGGCTTGAAAAGACTGTCGGGTGCGAAACCCTGCGTTTTTTTCGGGTAAAGTGGCTTCCGCAGTTGCCGAAGTAGTAGGGTCTCTGTTTCCGCGGTTTCGGGCCTCGATCTGCAAAAGTAGTCGACGAAACGTCTACAGGACTGTAGCGAGGGCTCGATTTCACATAAAAATCCTAAAAAAACTGAGGGTCTCAGGGCACTTTTGGAAGACGAGGTCGGCAAAATGTGCACGAGACTGTAGCGAGAGCTCGGTTTCCCAAGGACGATGCCATCCGTGTGCTGCTAGAACAGGGCCCAAACCAAACAACACTGAAAAAACAACGCAACACCAGAGGATGACCTTGAATGAAAAATCACTCCGATGTTGTCCCAACATTTGTTGCATAGACCGGAGAGTCTGACGCTTGAATGCCGTTCGCATTGCCATATCATGTTCCACACGCCCGAAGAGGCTGCAAAAAAACATGATGAGAATCTATGTGGAACTATGTAATCCTTTCGAATCATTTGATCATCAGCTGTCAGCCCAAGACACAACTCTTCAACCTGCTCTGGCAAAAGCGATCCGTCTAGCTCGCACAAAAAATATCAAGACGAAATCCACCGTTCATTCATTCCTTCTTCCCTTCCTCTCTTCCTTCAAGCATTCATGCAATCATGCACTCATTCATTCAGTATCATTCAGTCACTTCGTTCCTTTCAGCAATTCGTTTCATGCATTTGATTCGTTTCATTCATTCCATTCGTTTCATTCATTTCATTGCGTTCATTTGTTTCATTCCTTTCGGTTCATTCATTCATTCATGCATTCACTGCTTCAGTGATTCATTCATGCATTCATTGCTTCACTCATTCATTCACTCATTCTTTCCTTCATTCATGTCAATCATTTCGTTTCAGTTCATTTCATTTGGTTCCATTTCGTTCCATTTCGTTTCATTTCATGCATTCATTCATGCATTCGTTCATTCATCCGTCCATTCAATCATTCATTCATTCGTTCATTCATGCATTCTTTCATTGTTTCACCCATTCATTCACTCAATCATTCAATTCAATTCAATCCAATCCAATTCAATTCAATTCAATCATTCATTCATTTTCTTCAATGCATTCATTTCAATTCATCTCTTTCCAGCTCACCAACAATTCCTATAAGCAAACTGGTTCCTGTAGTCATGTCCTATTTTTGAAACTTCTGCCCCGGCGCGTGCCGGGCACTACCTGGTATACAGTATAGGCTATATAGGTACGTTCAGAATTAATTACCCAATTTCTCCTAATTGATCCCAGTTCTATCTTTTGGCAGTTCATGAATATCATGAATACTGTTCCCAAAGTTCCCAACTGCGGCTTACATCCGGCTTGTCCCCCACCTGCACATAGTCATTGGGATTGCGGATTTTCACCTCAGCTCCAGCGGCCCTCAGCGTATGGGCCCCAGCGGCCCATGGGTCGTGCCACATGGCTGCGTTGCTCGGGACACTGGGGCTTCGACATTTCCTTTTCCGGATCCTGGCGAGGCTGCGAGCTCCCCCCACACCCAGTCAGGGCGGTTCTGCCCGGTCCTTTGGAAAACAGGGAGCCCAGCAAATCCATGCCCTGCTCCTGGCTTGGCATCATTTTTTTCTGGTGAAAACAAGTGAGGTCCAACACTTGAGATATCTTGAGATGGAGGATGATGGAGGGGAACGTCGAAGAAGCTGCGACACCACGAGAAGAAGCCGGCAAAAAACATGGGACGGCGAATGAAACAATACGTACCGCATTTGTGCACTCTTTATCTTCAATCTTTCCTGAAAATCATTCCACTCTTCCCTGCGCCAAAACCCAAGAAATTGTTTCTCAGACCCAAGAACAATGTCCGCCCGCGGTTCTGCCAAAAAATGGACGGCATATGTGACAGTTTTACCATCCCCTCCAAAAAAAACAAACGAGGCCTAAACCCAAGGGTAAACCATCCCCAATAACTTACGTTGAAATGGGTGGTGGAGAAAAAAAACAACTGAAGGTTTATGTATGGGGTTACCATGTTACCACACTATATATAAGCCCGAAAAGACACTTAGGCTTAACACACAAAAGTATCATACACAATGCAAAACGGAATGGTCAAATAGTCTGGTACCCTTTCAAAACCCCACACGTTCATGTAACATCATATTCCATCGGTCCATCATAATTATAGTTGTGTATTATACACTATTTACAGACACGGCTTTGTCTGAAAATAGGGTAGCCTAAAATCCATTGCTGAATCATCATTGTCCCTCCTTTTTTCTTGCCATTTGGGAGGTACCGGTAAGTTTATCTCATTTGCAGACACACAAAAACTGGTTGGTGGTTTGAACCCCTCTGAAAAATCATGGACTTCGTCAGTTGGGATGATGACATTCCCAATTACCCTCTGGTAAACTAACATAACTATGGAAAATCACCATGATGAATGGGAAAATCCTCTATAAATGACCATTTTCAATAGCTATTTTGACATAACCAGAGGGTAATATGGAAAGTCATCATAATCCAGCCATGTTCCAGTCACCACCAACCATCCATATGTTCACTGCTGAACATCCAGCTGGCTTCTCCTCCGGAATGCATCTCAGTGCCAGCAAGGACTCAGCATCCAAGCGCTGCCCGTCCCAAAGATCCTCCGTGGGCGTGGCTTGAGACCGTTCAAGATCATTCTTTTATGGCTTGAAAGTAGGATACACGTATATATATATAATATTTTATATATAATTATATATATATATATACATATAATGGATGATGTATTAAATGAGATGATATTAAATGATATCGAATGATACTATGATATTAAGGATGGCTAAATCCGAGAGACCCTAAACACAAACAAATAATAACTATAATAACAAATACTTTTTAGATTTGTTGGTTGTACGGAGATAGTTTTCCCTCTTTTGGCAAAACGAACGAACTACAGTATCAAAGTAGCTGACCAACGTTAGGGTTGTAGCCACCAGGTGTTTGTGATGGTTGCCACAAAATATCTTCCAACCCAATTCCAGAAACCAGAATCCCAAACCGCAGCCAACTCATCCTCACAAGGCAACTGAGAACTGCCGTCCTTTTGGTTCAGGTCCAAAATGGCCATCTCTACTACTGTGGCATCTGGAGGGACCTGGCAATCGTGGGACTACATTGGTTTTTTCAAGCACTAGTTGACTTACAGGGGGAACCGATTCGTGCATTCTCCCTTCGTTGTTGCCCAGCACAAGCAACAAATAGGTCAGGTATCCCTACAATGGCTTTGTTTTTTGGCATTGACGCTGACACTGGCATTGGAAAGAATCAGTTGGTTTTGGGAAGACAACACCCCTGCGATTAAGGAACACAAGAACTCGTGATTCCATGAAAGGACAGGGCCCAACATTTTCTCAATATGGTGAATCCCCGGTACCCTGGTGAACCAGAAAAAATATATATCAAATATCTGGTATCAAAATCTTGCAGATGATACAAGATGAGGCCCCCAGTAGAAGTTGGTTTATAAACCCATTAACTACTAGATTTGTCTACCATATATCATAGTCATCCATACTCAACCTAGCTACAAAGCAACTTAGCTATCGTTCGAGGGCCTCACCCAAGGTGTTTTTGCCCACCGGGGCCCACCGAGGGACGACACGGTGCGAAGCTTGCTTCGGGAATGTTTAGCAACATTCACCATCATTTAACCACAAAATACCACAAACATCACCCAGAGATGATGCATAGTGATCCCTAGAAAAATGAAAAAAGAAATTGACACCCATTTTAGTAGGATTTAACTTGTCGATCTTGTTTGGGCTCATAGGTAAGATATGGTAAGATCTCATGGACCACATGGGACACGATGGACACGGATTTTTTGCAGACATCTCATGAGTCCCTCGGCTCCAAGCATTCTCAAAACATGGAAAATGATGTGACGATGTGGTAAACCCAATGCTTCAATATCCATATTATCCATGACTGGTCATCAAAATGGTCCTTTGGCATCGTCCCCAGTTTTCCGGGGGATGATAAAACCCCCAATTCGGGACGGTGACTGTTATCTTATCCCATGATTGCCCCACAATCAGATAATCAAGAAGATCCAAGGGTCGTTGAATTTGTAACGTCTAAGAAAAACATGATGTTTTTCAGGAAAACGCGATGTTTTCAAAATTTGCTAAATTCTGATGATGCTGCTGACATTGTGAAGTCATGATTTCTTCATATACTGCGTGCTTGTGAGTGATTTTGTGTTCCAACTTCAAACATGTGTGAACACATTCTGCACAAAGATTATTACATAGTGCCACAGTCTGACCCCTGCTGACCACCACTTTCAATCTTTTGCGCGTCCCGTTCAAGAACGAATGTATCCTGCTTTTTCCCAGTGTTTGTAACTGGCTTGAAGCAGTCTTTGAAGGACTCTCGTGATGGGGTACATAAAATAATCCTGAAATAAAGCCATGCGGGATGATTCTCCAAATTTAATTCCATTCATTCCAGTGACATCGCGATGTGAGGTCGTGATCAATTTCATGCAAGTAAATGCAAATGATCAAATCATATCGCCATATTTTGATCGTTGGACCCCTACAAATGATGTTTTTTTCCGCAATGGCCTATTGGATTCACCACACAGGGCAAATTCTCATGGAGAAGCTCGAAAGACAATGTACCCTGCTTCTTGCAGGGGATCACGTTGGGTCGGCTTCCACCATCCATCAGTCTTGGCAGTCTCGGTGGAAAAAAACAATAAAAAACAGATAGACCATGACAAAACAAACACTGAAATTGAGCGACAAACGAAGAATGGAACATGTTTGAGCAAAAACTCGGATTTGTGATGAATTTCATTGAATATTTCATTGTATTTCTCCCTATTTCCTGGAACACAAATGCTTGGACCATGCAGGATTTATTACTCCTGAATTTCTTTCTGCAACTTTTGCTCCAAATCTCCAACGGCCAAGCTCATTGAGATGGACCATGATGACCCAAATGCCAAGATTGGTCTCAATTGATAAACATAATACATATATAGATACATACACATAGTGTACACAGCTCAGCATGTCCCCGCCCTATGATTTACATAGAAGACTTGGATGCTTATGATGCTTCATGTCCGGGTTCTTTTCCAAAAACGTAGCAGAATTAAATTGTATTTTGTCCACATGTTGGAATAGCTGACATCAATCCTTCAGCAGGGACGAGCCGGAACATCCAACTTAGCACCCTTGTCAATCAGTTGAGCAAAAGTGCTGATTTCTTTCATCCATTCAGCACTCCATCGAATCTTTACAGTGCATACAACCATCACATCCCGCTTCTTAGCATTAGCGCCCATCAACTCTGGCGTCAATGCCTCCTGGAATTGCTCGATGGGAATATCGATCTTTTCGGCATATCCTTCTTCGATGCCCCCCTTCTCCTGCAAATAGATATAGACACTGAGCTCATCATTCGGCTCATAGTCATTCATATAGGCTCTGTCGTGATAGCCCCATCTCTCCGATTTGACACATTCGGTCTTGAACGTCTTGCCCTGAGTCTCATTCTTCACAAGCAATGCCAACGCACAATCTCCTGGCCAGTTGCGGGCGTCCCATGGCATCTCAAAAAGGACTCTGACGTTGATGGGGCCAGCAGGAACAACTTCATGATCCTCTTCTGATTCTGGCACTTTTTTGCAGCACAGCATCACGTTCGGAACGGCACACTGTGAGCGAACGCAAGCAAAAGCGGGAGCCGAAAGCAGCCTGCAGTAAATGATAGTAACTCAGGTAAATATATACATTATAAATTAATAATAATTTATATATATATATTTATTTATTTATACAATATATATATATATGTGTGTGTGTAATACGCACACTTCACTGCACTTTTGGTCTTGCTGGTTTGCAGTACATGAAAGCGCTATGGTATCTACAGTGGTCGCCAGTGACTGTCATGGCCATGGGCTTCATTCTTGCAGGTGATTGTGTAAAATGAATGTAAAACAATGTAACTGATCGTGTGCCTCAGCTTTTTAGACTTCCTGGCGACTTCTTGTTGTTTTTCTGAACCTCATCAACTCTCCATCGCTGCAAACGATTTTGTGGCCCACAGCTTTGTGACTTGGCACGGATTCTACAACAACATCCGGATGGACCGCCATTCCCTTCACGCTTGGCTAAAGCAAAATTGGCACCACAGCGGGCCGATGCTCCAACAACAGACACGAAATGATCCGTGAGAATTGATGAGATTCATGAGATTCATGGGTCAAAAAGTGGCTGGCGAATGCTGGCGATATTGGATCAGCCCATGCGGATCCATGCGGGCGCTGGTGCCACTGGTGGGCCACCAGCCCACGCACCCGAATCGACGCTGCCAGAGGCGCAGCATGTGAAATTACAGCAATAAAATTAAAAATTGTTTGGCGGATTTGGGCACCCTGATTTGGGTTGCACTGGCAAAGCATCCTCGAATCTGCAAAGTAAGATTCCAATAGGATCAGCAAACTCCGCTTGGAACTGCTTGGATGCAGGACCGCGCTGCAAGTGAAACCTCAAAGATGCTAAAACCAACCTGACCTGGGACGTGGTCAAAGGTTCAAGGTTGCAATCTGAACAAGTCTGATTCATTCTGATTCCAATCCCCAACCTTCTTCGCCGCTTTCAGCAAGGTCATGATCCATCTTGACCTTGTCACAGATGGGTAGAGTTTGGAACTGTTGGGACAGTCAACCACACATGGGATCAGATCATGGAAGTTTGAAGGGCCAATGGCAACCCGGCGAACAATAGGGGTTGATGACTGATGAGGGTTAATTCGTGTTAATTCACCCATGATTTCCATGATGAGAGTCCTGCTGTATTTCTTATCCAGTGCCAGAATCCGACAAAAATCACCCCTGCGCGCCCTGAATTCTCTCGTCGATTTTTTCCAAGACCTGAAGAATGACAAAGCTAAGCTCCGGTAGCTTGCCCGTTCTGGCATCTCATGCAATGCCATCCTAACATCCCTAGCAGCAATCCTGGTTCGGTGCTTTTGTGCTGTTCAGCACAGCGCAATTGATCTCTTTGGTCACGCAGACGCAGCGGGCCCAGAGACCCCCTGACCGGGCTTGCGAGGCAGCTGTCCCAACGATCTTCAACACGAAATCCAGCCCCTGGCAACACCTGTCAAATGTGGAAACAAGCTCTTCCTGTTCCGGAAAATGACGCCATCAATAAGCCACCTTGTGAATGTCCATAGCCACGGCCGTCTTTGCCAATCACAAACCACTGCAGCTCAGGTGAGCCAGGTCTTAACATCTTCTATGTCTTGGATGGGGAGGCGCAAGCCGGCCTTGGTCATACGGTGGTGAAATCAGTGTTGGTCGGTACAGTGCCCTCAATGAAGTTCGGAGTTTCTATGCAAGTTTCGGGCATGCCATGGTACCGTATGTCTAAGCACACCCATTTGTCAATGCTCAACTTTGTCAAGCAAACTATTGCACGGCAAGTCAATTCATAACCATGAATTGAACCAAGCTACGGCCAACAAAGAAGATTTCATGTAGCCAGCGAAGCGGTTCCACTCTGCGGGAGATACATGACTTTCAATACTTCCTCCAGCAGTCAGGGTCCAACTCACTTTTTGTTGAAACACTGCCGATGCGTACCGAGCGCTGGCTCTTGCCCGCCCAAAACAGCAATACAAAATCATGAAAATCTATGAAAATCTGCTGAAACCAAACGTGTCCAAGAATCTCCATCTCATCTCGTCTGCTTGCCATGTCAAGTGAGATATCTCCTCCGGCTGTACCACATGAGCCCCTGCACACCACATTTTCTTGGCCCGTTTGCGGGAGACTGACATCCAATCCAACACCCTGGAGCTTCCAAAGTCTGGCAATTCCGCCAAACGGGTCTCCCAGAGTTGGCTGGGATCTTCTTGCAGATGCCAAAGAAAACCTGGTTGATGGTTGATGGTTGAGCCAAGCCCCTTTGAATGATTGTGTTGGGGAGAACTTTCCTGGAAAAAATTGTTGAGTCGATGGGGGGAAATGGATGAAAAATAGAAAACATTCATTCGCAGCACAACTTCAAGCCCAACCCACCCTCCAAGGTGCAGACTCCGTCATCTGTTTTCGCTTGGTGTTTGTCAGCAGTTGCTGACAGTCAAATCCATCAATTCGGCCATGTCATGAGCCAAACATGGCCACAGCTTCACCTGTGATGAAGCCTGCCAAAGTTTTGCCCTCTGTACGTCGAATTCTGAAAACTTGTGGGTGGGATCCTGCAAGGGGGTTGGGAAAAACAAGTTTCAGTTAGGCCTCATTTTGAGCCCAACTTCAGGCATTTCAATTCCCATCCCTCCACCCAATTTCATGCAGCTCATTGGCATGTTTGTCACAACCGGTGTTGTTCTCAAACATTCATTCGCAGCACAACTTCAAGCCCAACCCACCCTCCAAGGTGCAGACTCCGTCATCTGTTTTCGCTTGGTGTTTGTCAGCAGTTGCTGACAGTCAAATCCATCAATTCGGCCATGTCATGAGCCAAACATGGCCACAGCTTCACCTGTGATGAAGCCTGCCAAAGTTTTGCCCTCCTTGACCAAGTCGCGGGATTTCATCACCTCCGAGCATTTTCGACAACGGGTCTGGTTGAACTGTAGTGCCACTGATAAGCGCACCTTTTCAGGGTTCTTGGTGAAGTTCCAGCCGCAAGCCGTATTCCACTTTGCCATCGGTATTTGCCATCCTGCATTGGTGACTCGGTGCCACACGCGTTTTCCCTTTCTACTGTCGCAGGACGACACCCATAGGGCTTGCTTTGCTGTATTTTCACCATTCTGCTGCTTTTCCTCTTCACCTTCAACTTGTTCCGGAAGAGCTCTCTTCTTCGAAACCCATGGGGTCAGGCACATGGGTGTGGAAGGCTGTCTACAAGGCGTCCAAGGCATAGGTGTTCCTGTGCCATTTCCCATTTGAGTTTCGTTCCTCCCATTGCGATTGGCAGGAACTTCTTGCAAGGCATCATTGGCGTAGGTCAGGACCACAGCCGACTTCCATCGCCCGAGGAATGCCAATTCTTGTAATTGTAAACCTCTTCTGACATGTTCCATGGCCCCACTCCTCCGGGCGGAGTGTCCTGTCACTTGTTTTCTCGTGACTTTTCGCCAAGCCTCGATCATCTTGTTCTTGTTCAACTTGCCCTTGAACTTGTCCGTGAACAAATATCCTTTCTTCTCTTTTCGCTTTGGAAACTCTTCCACCATGCGGAGCCAAACATTCCATGCGCAAAACCTGGAACACACGTTTTCACCGCAGCATTGCAAAGTTCTCTTGATTCCCTTCGCATCCTGATCCATTTTTGAGATCGGGATCATCAAGGAAACGGTCTTTCGTTGCCGATCCATCTGTATGTGCTCCCACTTGCACTCACTGGCCTCAATTTCCCGCAACATCCACAAACATGCCCAGGCATATGAGAGCGCAGGATTGATCCCGTTGTCAGCGTCTGCACCATCGGTTGCCCACTGCTCCTCTTCTATGTCCTCCAATTTTGCCTCTATGGCTCTTTTGACAGGGCCTTTGTTCCTCATCAGCGCTTTCTTGCACATAGCCAGTGTTCTCACCAGCCACGGTGGTAGATCAAAGCCCTGTTCTATATGACATAGTTTGAGCTCGTTCAGGTACTGGTCACCTGACTTCATGTTGGCATCTTTTATGCAGGCCGCCACTCCTTCGACAACCTCCTGTGTCAAAGGAAAGACTTGTTGGGCCGTTCCCGCTACCAGTCTCGCCAGTCTCACCACTTCACTCCTCTTAATGTCTCTCGCCGCTCTGGACGATGGGGCCCAAAAGTTGGACTTCAGCTTGTTCACCGCGTTTCTGATGTTCTTGGTAGACGTTGCCAGTTGATATGCAAGCTTCATGCCAGTGAGCTTGGTTTGTGTCAGCACTTCCACTGTGTCTACCATCTTTTGTCCTGACGCCCTTGCCTCTCCAAACTTCTTGGGGTTCGCCGCCATCTTGTTCCCCAGCATGGGCACGGCCGATCTCTGAAAACCTGCCCCCAAGCCCTTGCCTAGGATTTTCTCCAACTCTCTCTCATCCTTGCCATGTCGATTCTTTGCTCCATATCTGACAGCACTGGCAAGGCTCTGACCACCATGTCCTGTGTCAGACGTTCTCTGTTGCCTCCCCTTCTGTAGGAGGAGTAGACTGCTATTGGATCTGGCGTGACTGCTCGGTTGCCCTTCTCCTTGTCCCTCTGGGTTAAAGAATCTGGAGGAGTGCATAAGATAGTTTGCGTTGATGCCTCGACCCCCCGTGACACTGTCTGTGAACCCGCCATTTCCCTGCTCCTTGGTTTCCGCGGGTCTTGTGGGCCCCAGCAGCATTTGCACAGGTTGCGTAGGGCAAGACAGCATGTGATGAGCCCGGAGAGCCATCCAACTACGACTAAAAGTTCAGCCCAAGACCAACTGTCAATGTCAGTGGTCTCAGTGAGCTCTCCAGACACTACTATCGCGTCCATCCTGCTGTCTTGAGCTTTCCCACGCAGCTGCATCAAATCAAATTAATTCACACAAACCTTCAAATCACAAAACATGCCAATAACCCCCATGGAAATGCCTACTCATGTCATGTGGCTGCCCAAAGAACTTCCGCATGAGACAATGAACTCAACTTTGAAGTTCCCTCCCCCCAAAGCTGTGAAAGAGGCACCCTCTTCCTTATTGCCAGCTTCGGATGTCTCAAAGTTCTTCAAAAGCCGCAGACACCACTTTGGATGCTTGGCCCCATCTCAGCGCCGCGTCCACCCCGGGGGGTTTCAAGGCCGACGTCATGATTCTTTCCTTTGGAAACTGACGCATGGGCACCCCCACCAATCTTTTTGGCATCTCGCCCCGCTGGTGTGGGCGGCTAAGCCAATCAGCTTCCACATTCCAAGATCCAGGAATGTGTTGGGTGATGAATTTGCCCAGGTTGAGCTCCTCCGTCTTCAGCGCCAATTCAGCACCGATCCAATTCAACACCGGAGATGGTGCAGAGGCCTTGGAAACTGTCGCCAAAGCCACCACGCTGTCGGCCCGAATCAGCAAGGAATGTCCCTTGATTCGGTGCTTCCATTTCTTGATGGCCATCAAAATCGCCCAAGCTTCCAATGGCCCTTGCCCCGCCGGGTCGTCCCATGGTATGCCCATCCATTTGGCATATTCCTCCGTGAAGGGTATCTCCAGCGCCTCGAGCGGAATGATCGCTCGACTTTTCCTGTCGATGTCCGCCAAAATGGCGCCAACTCCTCTGGGGGAAGCGTCTGTGATCAACGCAAACTGAGCTGGTACTTCACGAAGTCCCTCTCGCCTCAGCGCAAACCTGTCTGGCTTCTCAAACATTGCAATGAACCACTGTCGCGGCAATTCAATCCTGTGCACCGCCACCATGAAGGGTTTTGGCCTTGTGTCGTCCCTCCTGGTTGCTCTGTCTTGCTCCTTTTCCGCATCTGCCAGCGTCTGTGCGATGACTGCGTACAAGATGTTGACGCACCATCTGGCCCCCACGATGATGCCACAGATCCATGACAATTTTCCCGTCACAGCCCTGACCTCCCTGAGGGCTACCATGCCCTTGTTCTGCCAGCTCTCCAGTGTTGTTTTGACCTCGTTCATCATCTTGGGCGGGATAGAAAGGATGACCACGTCCTCTGCCAGCTTCAACTCCATGCGTACTCCAATCCACACTGCATCCGTTCCTCTGAAGCCTTTTCGAAACTGAAGCTTCACTCCCAAGGCCCCGCACATGTAGAGGATGAGCGCAAGGTTTTCTCTCCTCCTCCAACGTGGACCCTGCAACATCCATAACGGATCGTCCATGTACAGCTGTGACTGCATCTCATCGGCCGGCACCAAGGACTGTAGCAGTCTCGCCAATGTCGCAGCAAACCTTCCCATGATGAGTGGGGCTCCCTTGAAGCCAAACAGCATTGCCACGAACACAAGATACTTGCCAGGGTTGACTGACGGCGCCACGCAGTTGCCCAGCTCGTTCTCATGGACCGCCAAGTGACAGTATGCGTCTGACAAGTCTGCTGACACCAGTTCCACTTCGTCACATTGGTCTTGATCGTCCCAGTCCTCCTTCTGTGCCCTCAAGATCAACCCAAAACGGTTTTCTCTCAGGTACCTCAGGCTGTCCAGCACGTCTTGTATTCTCGGCAACACGATGCGTTCCCGTATGCGACATCTGCTGTTGCCCCCACTGCGCAACAAGTCAATTATGACACGCCTCTTAATCGTGCCATCCTCCTTGGTTTTGATGATGAGTGCCAGCTTGCTCACCGTGCCAACCGGAAATTGCTGCCGTACCTCTTCCTCCGACAGCTCAATGCAAAAGCCCTTCTGCAAATACCTTTGTACTTCAGCATAAGCATGTTCCGGCTCCTCAACAAAGCTCTTGTAGTTCTCTGCCCCCAGCTGAGCCTCCATTTCGGGCATGCTTTCAAACTCCCCTTCATTGCCCTCCGTCATCGGGAAGATGTTGCAGTAGGGGATGTTTTCTGCCATGCCCAACGGAGCCCCTGATCTGATCCATGACACTAGATCCATCTCCGGGTCACCTGAATGCTTTCGCCAAGCTTCTAGAAGCTTTGCATTCAATGGAGATGCGAATCTCTCCGGGGGTCTCAAAACCACTTCATCAAATTCCTTGACCTTCAAGAAGTGCTCGATGCAATCCGTCCATGCCTTGAGAACGTTCTCCTTCAACTGGCAGTTCTCACTTCCGTACTCCTCTGCCGTCTCGACTGCTTGAGGATATTCTCTCAGAAATCTTGTCCACAATCTCCTGATGTCTTTCCCTGTCTCTGCCAGCTTGCTAAGTCTACTCACCGCCTTTGCCGGGTTCCGCATGCCCCCCACGTAGTGCTCGTTCTCTCCTTCCCGTCTCTTCTTCTTTGACGGTCCCTCAGAAGGCCCTTCACTAGCATCCACGTTGTCTGCCATCCAAACTCTTCGAGAGGCGGACAAATCTTGGGTTGTCACCGGGGGCAACTGTCGTTTGGCCTTGCTGGCCAACCACCTCAGCTGTGCATCTGACACTTCTTCCTTTTTCTTTCTCAAGACTGATCTCCACCATTCCATTTGGATCGTGGTCTTGAACGTCTTGACAACCAAAGCTGCATATGCCTTGCACAATTCCTCTGGGTACTCTGCCGCCCTCGACGTCATGTTCTTGCCTATCAAAGCTTGATGTCGGCTCCATCCAGGGCACGTGCACTTCTTTGACAACCTGTCCGAATCGGCCAAGCAGCCCGTGAAGCGTCCTGGCTTAAACCACTTGTACCTCAACTTGGTCTGGTAAGCGCGCGTGTTAAACAAGGCTGTTGTCGTTCCCAAGTCTCTTTCAAACGACATCAATTCGGGGAGAGCCCATGCCGGTCCCTCTTCACCTGTCTCACTTCCAGGCGGGTTCTCCAACGTTCCCACTGACGGCACCGCTCTGCGTCTTTGACTCTGAATGACCTCGTTGATGATCATGGCCGACCTGACAGCCATCACTGTTCCTCTGTCAGCTTCTTGTTGTTGTGCTCGGCTGTTTGTTGCCAAGCCATAAATTTCGGCTCCAGACCGCACAGGCTTGGGTCCTTCGCCTTCCAGGTTGTATCTTGCCCTTGAAAAGCTCCCACAGGGAAATCCAGCATGACCACCATCGTAGTCGCCCTCTTTGGCCTTCTTCAGGATGTCCGTGAAAGGCCGCTCTGCTAAAAGATCGTGGCTTGCATCAATGAGTTTATCATAGGATTCCACCACGACCTTCAACCCTTCCTTTTCGCATTCGTCCCTCAAGGCTTCAGCCAAAACGTCACGAGGCCCCGCAAACAAATGAAGGAACTTGAAATGTCTTTCTTCTTTGAACTCTGCATATGACTGACATTTCTCAAGGCACAGTTCCACCCGCTTGGACACCTCCGCATTCACTCCATGACTAGAGTCAGCGATCTTGGTTGAACTCGACGCCGTACTCATTCTGAAAAGGGGGCTGCGATACACATGAACGTTCATCTCAAGACTGCCATGGTCAACCCTCGAGCCATGTCCAAACGAATTCAACCAATTCGAAACCTGACCTATTGAAACCTACCTCAACGTGTCATGAACTCTTCCGCACTCGTGCAACATGAAAAACACAAAACAGGGCTCCCTTCATCCATCACCAGTGCAACGGAGAAGCCCAAGTTTTTCAACACAAGCACAGTTCATTTCTTGGGACACTGTTCATTGGTGTGTCCTGGTGAAAGACACAATTGGCACTTGTGTGCCCGTTTCACTTTCGACCTGCACTCTGCGCCGGGAGCCAGCCCAGCACAAGGCCCATTGTTCTTGGCCCAAGAAAAACAAATCTCCTCTCCAGTCTGGTCCTTGCCCTGCATCTTGTTCTTGCCTTTGCCGCCTGCTCCGGAACCCTTTCCCGAAGCCGGCGTGCTTCTCCACTTTGCTAGTTCTTCACGTTCAGCTTGGGCACGTCTTTTCTTTGCTGCTCTTTTGTCTCTGTTAGCTTGTCTGCGTCTCTCATCTTTCTCACCGCTGCCGCCCTCCGTCTCATGCCCTTCAGAAAGTCCTGGAAAGTGGGCCAGAGCTAAGGCTTCTGACGATGCCATGGGAGCGCCTCTCGACCCCGATGCCAACCATGCTGTAGCTGGATGTCTCACCTGGTCATTCCAATAGGTCTCGTCTTGCGACACCAACCTGAAAACCACCGACCATGGCTTTTCCTCAGTGAAGTCCGTTGGAACGTTCTTGCCGTTCTTGGAGTCCACGACCAACTGCCTCCGTACTCTTTCAAGACGTTCGGCACGCGCTTTATCATCAGCATGAGCTATGAGCCCCCAATTCTTAGGCCACTGTATGGTCATCTTTTCGATTGCCTTCTCGTACAACAGCAGCGATGCTATCGAGCAGATGTCCAAGGAGATTGCGGCCACCTTGAAGACTTTCCAGCTCGCCTGCCATTGCATGAAATTCTGAGGGCCAGGAAATTCCCTCGCCACAAACGTGCCATCCCCCACCGGAAAGAAAGCCCTCATCTTTTGATTCCGAAGAGCTCTCCGACCGAAGGGTAGCCAGACGCCCATGTCCACGTATGGTGCTTGGCCCAACTGGTTCACCCTCTTGTCCAGCGCCGCCATTTGAGCGTCCGTCGGTTCTTCTTCCTCCATTGGCAAGTCTCCCATGACTTGAAGGTACCTTTGTGACCAGGAATGCACTGTCTGCAAGTCTGGTGGCATCAACTCACTCTCATCTGTCTGGCCCACCAGACTCGACATCTTGAGGACCTTTTCTTTCAAACCATTTCCTTTCCCACCATGCCCATGAGCTTGTGCAGGAAGCTTAGGCGTCTCCTTCGGCACCCAGGGGTCCACGTCCTCAAAGTTCGTGATGTCACCACCCTTTCTAAGGTAAACTGCCGTCCTAGCAACCCGCCAAACTAGCCCCACATGTGCAGCTTCGGTGGCTGATAGTCCAACTCCTGCAGCTTGTGCCTGTCCAATTGCCTGCACCACTATGTGAGCTGGCAAGGCTGCCAAAACTCGAAGTTCCTGTCCAGGATTCCCAACTTGTTCTAAAAAGGCTTCCCATATGGTAGCCGGCACCCGTAGCAACCGCACTGCTTCTGCTACATTCGATACCGCTCTCACCTCGTCTTCGCCGGGTAGAACGTCCATCGACTGCACGCGGGTTGCCATGGGCCCAAACATCACACGAAAAAAACAAGTTTCAGTTAGGCCTCATTTTGAGCCCAACTTCAGGCATTTCAATTCCCATCCCTCCACCCAATTTCATGCAGCTCATTGGCATGTTTGTCACAACTGGTGTTGTTCTCAAACATGTAGGAAACTACATGAAACATCATGAAACTACCAGCCAGAAACTGGGTGCCCCCGGTTTTAGCACGTTGTCGGCCACCAGCACTGCTTCCTCTGCCAACAGGCCAGGCTTCTGGAACAAGAGCTGCAAATCTTTCAGAAATCTGGAGCCACGTTGGTCAAAAAAAATCACGTCGAAGGGACCGCACAGTTGTGGCAGGACTTCCTCCCAGACAGAACAACGTCCAACAACATGCCAGAGATTGCCAGAGCATCAGCCACGTACAATCAAAACCCAAACATGTCCAAACTCAGGTAAGTACATCTGAGAAACAAATTGCCCACAACCTCTCGAATTTGCCCATCTTTAACCCATCCCCCGCGGAGTCTCCTCGCTGTGGCCCACGTGGACGGTCACCACCTGCTGCAACCCCGCGTGCTGCACCACCTGCTGGGCCAGGCGCGCTACCGTGGGATCCATCTCGACGCTATGCACCTGGCCACGCGGGAGAACCGCGGCGCCGAAGCGAAGTGCCGAGAAGCCCACGTAGCAACCCACCTGGAAGTTGGCTAGGCAAAAAAAAAGAACATACGGGGTTGGGATTATTTGGTTTGTTTTTTCATGGTTTGGTCTGATATGGTCTGATATTCTCAAAATGTCTAACTACAAGCTCCATCTACATCTATTTGCTGATTTATTCAGGAATGTAACCAGTCGGAGCGGCTGAACTACTAGTATCCCACATCCTCCAAGTTTGGGCCATGGCCCACCTCCAAGATGCGCATGGGCCTCGTGGCCCCCAAGATGGCGTCCAGCAGCTGGGCCTTTTGACCTCCGGCCACCTTCAACCAGAGCCTCAGGTTCTGTCCATGGAGACCCCAAGTGTGTCCCAAAAAGGGCTTCTTCTAGTGGTGGAACCAGGTGTCCTTCATCACTGACATTGCCAACATTATTGGACTGGAAGTGTCGGGGAGGTTCCTACACGGCCTCATGAAGACCAAGCAGCCTTCGGGTGGAACAAAACTCCTCGACTGCTGCCAGCGCAGCTTGAGCATCGCCCTGGGCTGCATGGCTCTGGACAAATCGAAGAAGTTCAGTCTCCCTCCAGGTGCGGGGAGGGGCTGATGGCAAGGCCTCCCACAAGGATGCTTCCCTGCGAGCATCTTTCAACTGCACGGCCCCTGAGATGAGAGCGCTAGCCAAATCCTGAGCACTGTTTGCTATACTGAGGCAAACAAAAACTTCGAAACTGTCTATGCCCGAATTAGGACATTACAGTCGCAACCCCAAATTAAAATCAACTTGACCAGCCCTCCTGCATCCATTCTTTTTCTCCCAGTTGCTGGCGCCAAATCTTGATGACCCACTTCATCCACCAGCGTCTGAAACGCCACGCCCAGCTGCAGCTTCACCAGACTCCGCGCCAACATCGCCAGGCCCCGCTGGTCGTTCCAGCCGCGTTTTGGACGCGCCACGTGCTGCTGCACCGCAGCCCGCAGCCTGCGAAGCTGCTGGTGGTTGGGATGCAACGACGCCAAGCTCCATGAAAGACAAGCCATTTCGTGGCCCTTCAGCAGCTGCAGAGAAGAAACCTTCTGTTCATCTTCCTCTACCTGGCACGTGGTAGGAGGGTTCTGCTGATGCATAAGTGATTGCTGAACCTTCAAATGATCGTGGGGCACCAGGCTAAATCCAAAACTCTGCGTTGGAAGTGGAAAGCTCTGCAATATTGACCGCCTGATCCCAGCCCGTCTCTATGGGACCCAAATGCTACAGGTTATTGCCCTATCTTCCGACATTCCCAAACCTTCGTCAAGAGCTTCTGCAGCCATGACTTCTGCTCTAAGGTGGCCCATGACCAACTCAGCATGGCGAATTCCTGGTGTTTTTGAATCATGTGGTATGACAGCCACTACTTTGGGCGCAATTCATCCCTCCTTGCTTTCAGTTCAGAACTATTCGGCTCGTTCATTCATGGTAGGCATCGAGAATCCGGTCATTCAGATACCGCCAACATCTACCAAACAAATCCAGTTGGCATATCTGCCAGCTTCCCCTCCTGCGGCTGCATCTCTTTCAGCCCGAGGGCCACAGGGTACAGCTGCGGGCTGCTGGACCACAGCATGGTGGCAAAGGACCAGAAGATGTTGGCCAAAATTCGTGACGTCAACTCCTTGAGGCGGGGAACGGGTGGACAATGACCCATTCAGCTTCCCTTCATAAAAACAAGACCCTCTTGGCCGAAGACTTATCCCATACCTCAAACACCTCATAACACCTCCCACTCCCAACAAATGGTGTCACAGATGTCACAGAGCCAAGCATCTGCATGCCTCTCTGCTGAAACCATCTCGAGGCTTCGCAGAAGCTCTGGATCCCTGGTGGATGTGAGGAGCTGAGCTGGGAGCAGGCATGGTAAACAGCGGTAAACAAAACCACCGATGTGTGCAAATGTGGATTCGACACGATGCCCATCAATAAGTCGGGTTTGCTGGGCAAAGTTTCCCAATCACGCCCGAACCAACCCATATGCCATAAGCACTGCTCGAGTCATCTGCCAGCCTGTAGCCAGATCGTTTGTTGGGGTTGAAACCTTGCCCCCCAAAGGCCGCACAAGCCCAAGCAATGGCTCCAAGATGTACCACAGGCAAGTGCTCCATCTTTTCCTTACAAAGACCTCCGTGCCAGGTTGGGTGCACCGAGCATGTTTGGAGACGGGCATGGCAGCACCAGCACATGACATCAAGTCAATCAAGTCACAGCCACAGTTTTTTGGTCTGCCATGTGGCCCAGAACGTGCAGAGGTTTGGGATGCGAATCCCGCCTGCCAAATCTCCGAAAAGTTCACGACCGCAGCTCAAACGAGCAGCAGACCAAAGCACATTGGAAAGCTGCCCGCTCAGCTGCGAACCCTGGGCCTGACATGTGCACTTAGGGTAAACAAAAGCTAGCCTTTGTAGCTGCATGTGTCTTCACCCATCCACATTAATCCGCCCTCTTTGCTTTACCACTATATACCACTATCTACTTTCTTCATCCTTCTTCTCTACTATCCCCGCTCTTCTCTGCATCTGTCAATTCTTCCCACTTACCAGTATCTACATCATCATCCCCATCATTTATCATTCTTTATCCTCTCAATCGCATCCAGATTTCCATTGCTCAAGCCAGAGCAAGCCACCAAGCCCCATGGCTCTGGCCTTGGCCATCTGTAACAACTCCTCTGCGGCGCCCTGAACCGCCAAGGCGCCCAATGCCCAGAGGCACTGCGACAGCTCTCGGGCTGGGAGGTGGTATGTGGCCGCGGCCCGCGCCAGGCGGCAAATGGAAGGAGCGTCACCAACTGGGATGAAATGGGGATGAGTTTGAAAGATTCTTTAAGGGACGTTAGGGATCCCAAATAGCTGCACACATTGGATGGGGGATGGCTTGGGTACCTCAAACATCCTCAAACTGTTTTTCATAGATGAATGCCTTTTTTGAAGGGCATTGGGGGCTCTCACCCAACTTAGAAAACAAACGAAAGCAGGTTATGCCTCGAAATGACATTTGGTGATTCTTTGATGCTAAAATTGCGAACAATTTGCGGGGCACTTGCCACTTGGCTTCCCCACTTGGCAACTGAAAATGCACAGCTCCCACCTCCCTTGAAGCAAGGCACAGGAGAGCTTGGCAAAGCTCCAGAGCGTATTTGCCAGGTGCCTCCCATCGCAGTGGTGCAGCTGATGCAGCAAGTCCCCCTGCAGCTGCCACAGCAACTGCTCGCAGCGGTACTCCATGCGTGCCATGGACCAGGCCAGCTGCGATGCATCCAATGGGCTCAATCTCTGGCGCCGCCGGGAAATCTCGGTGGTCAGCTGCTGGAACAAATGCTGGCAGTGCGGTAGCTGGGCGCTACACCAGCCCAGCCTGAAAAGGCCAAGGACATGGTCACCCCTGAAACGGGCAAGCACCTTGTTGGACGACAAAACGCTCCTAATACTGAGATCCTGAAGAGCTCGTAGGGTCGTAGATTCATATGCACTGCAAGTCTTTCAGCGCCATCACTGGAGGCCCAAATCCACCCATCTATCATCATGAATCTATCAAATTCACAAATCATCCCCTTCCGAGTCCGAGCTTCATCAAGTTTTTCATCAAGTTTCATCCTCCCAATATCCCAACCGGTCCCAACCTGCTCAACTCCCTGGTGCTGTGCTCCTCCAGTCGTTCCACGGCCACCTGCACCGCCTCCAGCGCGCCGGTGTCGGTCAAGGCCCAGGCCACCGCGACCAACTCGCTGGGGCGAAACTCCCAGCAGCGGCGTAGCGCTGAGGCCCTGAGATCCAGCCAGCGCGGGTCCTGGCGAAAGATGGTGAAATGAGTGAAGTTCAAGGTGAGTTAAGGATGTTAAGGGTGAGTTAAGGTAACACAAATGACATCAAATGACCAAATATGCCCAAATGATCCAAATTCATGTCCATGGGAACCAAGTCACTGAAATATTGAACTTGAATTCACCGACATCTGAAGCTCTGAAAGACCCCACCCATGTCCCATAGTCCAACCATATCCACCCATCCCATCCGTAGCGGCCTCCGCCACCGAAGTCTTCCGGTACCTCTGCCATCGGGCCACGGAATGCAGCGCCACAGCCAGCTCCTCGGCCTGTCCTGCCGTCGGCAGGGCATCAAGGACCTGCGAGGCGTCGGTGGATTTTCCGACCCATTTCCGACCCTATTGGACCGTAATGTGATCTACGGATATCTATGGGTCACCACCCAAGCTCGTGCCATCATCTTTCCCAATTTTGTCCTGGATTTTCCTTGGGGTTATCTAATAGCTAGTTCCATCCTAGGTCTCCACCTCTGAGACTGTGTTGCATTGCAACCATTCACTAGCCACCCGCCGACGCATGCCATGATTCGGATGGCACAGCTGCAGCACTTAGGGATCGGCTAGATGCAAAAATCCGGACCAACGGGCTGGTGGCAATTTGCTGACTTTCTTGTGACTCAGTGAGTATTGATGAGTATGGGCTCTCCACCTTTCATAGCTTCAGGAGAATTAAAAAAAACTAAAATGCAAACAAACAGCTAGAATGGTTCATCTCACTGCTGCCTTTGGCGACTAGAGACTAGAATCCGGAAGGTGGGCGACAAGTGGCGACGGAGTCCATGAACTGACTCGTGATGCAACTATCGATTTGAAAAACCGGACCCCATGATTTCTATGCTATGTCATTCTGTGTTTCCTTCAGCTGCTTCTGACTTGTGCAACTTAACCTCTTCAAGGTCACGCTTCTCCATGCGAAAAAAACATCACTTTCACACCAACAACCCCTTCTCCATCTTTTCCGCGCGCTTCGGGTGGTCGCGATTTCACACGTCCCCATGCCAGAGTCCTTCAGCTTCACTATCACATCGCAGTGGCCTTCACTCTCCGCAACGGCTCATCATGGTGTATCGCCACGTTGTCCATGACACAGCATCGCTCGAACGAGACGGAATGGCTCAAATGACCAAAGGCCCTTTCGCCTTGAGCTCCTGAGGTGCCACAGGACATAGCTTGGATGGGCGGCTCAGACACATGTTCAAGATTTTGCTGCCGGCATTCCATACCAAGAATTGACACCCACAAAAGATATTGTTGTTAGTCGACTTCATCATTCCAAGCAGGACAGAAAATAAAGAACACAATAATCGAAGGAAGTTTAGAAGTCAAACTTCCGACAATATGGAGAGATGAAAAGCAGAGCAGGGCAGAGGCACAGAGAAGAGGAAGATTAGAAGAGAGAAGATCAGGAAGAGAAAGAGTAAGAGGACAGAAGATACAGATGCGCGAAAAGGTAGGAAAGTCGCGAAACACTGTGTTTTTCCAATGATTTGTGGCTCCGGAGGGTCGAAAAGTAGGCTCGCTAAAGCGGCGGGTGCGGAGCCAGCTGGCCAGAGGAGAGATGAAAAATTGCACGCCGTTGTGGCGCGAAGCACATTTCCAAGTCAAAATGTACAAAACACCTAGCGCTCCGGACCACTTTTGGAAGTTGAGATGTCGAAAAAGTGCACGCCGTTGTGGCGCGAAGCACATTTCCAAGTCAAAATGTACAAAACACCTCAGCTTCGGACCACTTTTGGAAGTTGAGATGTCGAAAAAGTGCACGCCGTTGTGGCGCGAAGCACATTTCCAAGTCAAAATGTACAAAACACCTCAGCTTCGGACCACTTTTGGAAGTTGCGATGTCGAAAAGTGCACGCCGTTGTGGCGCGAAGCACATTTCCAAGTCAAAATGTACAAAACACTAGGGGTTCGTGTTCGCGACAGGTTCACCCGGGTAATATTATCGGGGGTACTAGCACTGACAGTCCTGACACGTCTGCGGCCAGAAAAGCCAGGTACTAGTCCACACCTCAAACTCCTTGCGTTAGACACACAAAGTCCTCCACGGTCAGACAAGTGGTCCTGCGCTTTTAACTCTCTTTCCAAAGTCCTTCACGTTGGATTCACCGGTCTTCCGACCGATCTTTGAGCTTGGAAAAAGGGCTATGCATGGTGAAATGCCCATTGATTGAAATGATAATTGCAAAGTCATGACATGAATGCTAAATAGGGAATATGCAATTCGCACACCCCCTGACTGTGTTTCGCTAGAGGCACAGTCACACGAAAAAAGCAAAATATATCTCACACCATCTACACGACAGTGTTACATTCAAAGCTCAAGCCCTCTCTCAGATGTTCTTTTTCCGCTCTTCTTTTCCAATTTTTTTCACTTTGCATGTCATCGCACCTTTTTTCACTTTTCGCTTTCAATTACACGGCTGATACGCAATGGAATATCCATGCATTTTTTCGCAGTGAGTCACATCGGTGTGCTGGGGTCCATTCAATCCAGCTCCATACATGTCTCTCCCTCGAGGATGCCATCCGCGAAGTTGAGGAACACACTGCTCACAGATATCGGTGCGTCGCACCATCTGTGAATTTCTCAACCCATAGCAATCCTTTCGGAAGTGATATTTCTTTCCAAGGCCTGTAAAGTACAGGTCAATCGATGGGGCAGCACTGGAAGATGGATCCGCAGGGATCAGAGCACCAGTGCTGGTGGATGAGGAAGCCGCAGCTTTTGGCTCGGCTGCAGCATGATCGGTTCTGATCTGCGTCATCCCTGTTGATGTCGTTTCATTTGGCTTCCTTTCATCACTTTTCTTTCCTTTTGACTTTGATTGCAAAGCTTTTGGTGGCGGAGCAACTTCTTTCTTTTCTGCTGCCGCCTTGGGAATCACTGGTTCTTGGATTCCAGCAGAGGCTGTTTGATCTTCTGGTAGCGGAGCTTCCAGCTTTGAAGCTGGTTGGCCATAGGTGTTCCTCTGTCCGTCCTGTTTGGACGCAGAAGATTGGCCCATACTTTTGGCTCTTTTTACAGCCTTTGGTGTTTCTTCCTTTTCTTCTTTTAGTGGTGGGCCACTTCGCCTGGGGAGTTCGTCCCGAGATTGGTCTCCTCCACCAAATCCCAGAACCGTCTCACCCGGCGGGGAGGTTGGACAATCGGTCTGTGACGCTAGACCCGACGTCCTGGCACTCCCAGATGGCCGGCTGCTTCGCCTGGGGAGTTCGTCCCGAGATTGGTCTCCTCTACCAAATCCCAGAACCGTCTCACCCGGCAGAGACCTGATGTCCTGGCACTCCTGAGCAACTGACTGCTTCCCCTGGGGAGTTGGTCCCGAGATTGGTCTCCTCCACCGAATCCCAGAACCGTCTCACCCGGGACGGAGGTTGGACCATCGGTCATCAGACCCGATGTCCTGGCACTCCGTTGAGCGAGTTCGCCGCGGGATCGATCTGATCCCACAGCCGTCTCAGCCCTGAGCAGTCGTCGCTGCCAGCCGCTTTGAATGGCCAACGTGACCAATACCACCGCTATCGTATATACCATCATCATATCAAAGAAGATGGATGATTCCTCTCCTGCATCTCCATCATCATCTTCGGCCCTCGCTCGGCTGAGCATGGCCATGATCATCGCCATCCTGACCATATCTTTTGGGGACTTTATCCCTCCTTTCGCTTCTTTCGTCTCTATGGCCGGCTCTCTCACCTCGCCATTCTCTTCTTTTTCTTCGGTAGGCCCTCTCACCACACCGAGATCTTCCTTTTCTTTCTCTGTTTTGATCTTTCTATCTGTCATGCCCATGGCTTTCTTCAACTCCTCCAACTTCAATGCCGCCAAAGCTTTGGTGCCCAGGTCGGCGATCATGCCGTTGCCTGGAGTGTGTCGGAGGATGACATCTCCACTCAGCACCCGCCATCTCATGTAGCGAGCCCTCTTTCTCAAGTGGCGCGTCCTCCAGGACGCACTGTCGCCTCCAACTATGGCGATGGCTGAGGCAGAATCCGAGTACTGCCAACATCGCACTGCCCTTTCCAAAATTTCTTCCACCACTACTCGGACTGCCTCTGCCAAAACTCCTCCTTCCAAAATCTCCAACAGCTCCGACTCTGCCGTAGAGGCGGTTTGAAGTTGTTGGCGCGAGCTTCGCCACAAAATTGGAGCTCCCAGCCACATCACCACTGAACATCCGTGGCCTTCATTTCCATAGGCCGCGTCAGTGTAGACCAGGAGGTCTAGGCAACCATCTTCGTTTCCTCCAAAGCGAATCCCTTCTTGGATGGAATTCGCAAGGTATTTCCAGATCTGAGGCGCTGCAGCAATGACCTTGGAAGGTCGTCTGGTGGTCCATCTGGAAATTCTGGACATGACGTACATGATGTCGGGGCGACACCTGGTCACCAGCCAGGTCAGCTCACCTACAATTCTCTGTGCTTCTCGAACCTTTTCTACTGTCTTTTCTGCATCATCCTCACCATCACTATCCAAACTTCCATCCTCCTTTGACATGGGAATCTTCTTCAATCCCCACTTCTCTCTGTCCATCCCCATGTTCTTCTGCAAGAGATCCAAAGTGTAGGAGTGTTGAGTGGCGCACCACACTCCATTTTGATCTCGAGACAACTCCATACCCAAAAACCGGGTGGTTTGCTGACAGCCCACCTTCTCAGGGACGGAGGTTTCCCACTTGGATTGGATGCAGCTGATCCAAGCTTCTGCAGTCTCCTCTGAGGCAAGGACCAAAATGTCATCGACATAGGTGAGCATGAGCCCTTGCAATTCGCCAGTCTCTTCTTGGCGGATGGCCCATGTACTCGGCTCTGATTCAAGCTGATGCAACCTCATCTTTCCAACTCTCATCTTTTCCATCTCCTCATCTCTATAATCCTTCCAGAGTTTCGGAGACCTCCGGAAGCCATAAAGAGCTCGCAAAACCTCCCAGAGCTGATAGGGAGGAAAGTAGCCAAGTTTGACCAAAATTGGTGGTGGCCTAAGAAGCATTGGCAGCGGAGCTTCTTCGCCTTCTTCTTCAAAAAACCAATCTTCACCCCCCTTTTCATGTTTCCAGGGAGCGTTCAAAAAGGCGGTGCGAATGTCCACATTGATTCCGCACCATTTGCGAACTGTGGCCAGAGCAAGCGCCAGCCTAAGGGCAGCAGCATCTGCTCCTGCCGCAAAACAGTTTTCATCTCCACCCCCAGTCTCATAGTTGCCACATGCAACTATGCGACATTTTCGCTTTCCCCGACGATCAGCCGGATCTGGCTTCACCGTAAATACGGTCTTGGAAGGTAGTGGAATCGCTCCTCTTTCTTTGAGATACTTGTCGCTCTCCTCTTTCGTCAAAAGCTTCAACGCTTTCTTTTCTGAGAAGAGTGAAGTGATCTCATTGGAAATGGCCTGATGCCAAAGGTCTTTCTTCTTTACCACCTCAGCAGTGCCCACAATTTTCGTTTGGAGCACTTCTCCTTCATCTTCTTGATCCATCTCCTGCATGGCTTTCACCCCCCTGAGTACGGCCTCAACAACCTCTTCATCATCATAGAAGGCATGTTCTGCCTCTTCCTGTATCACCTTTTCCCGCTTCAGCCTGTCTTGCCTGCTTTCTTCATCTTTCTCCTCTTGTACCTTTCTGATCATGGCTTTTCCTCGAATTCTCCTTCGAAGATCCAAGGGAGTCAGATTGTCTTCTAAGGCAATCCACGTGTCCTCAGTGACTGGCTCCGCGGTGTTGGTGATGACAGCCCTGGTCAAGGCTTGGGTGTTGTCTGAGCGGAGTACCCAATGCCCATAGTTCCGCCAGGAAGGGGTGAGGTAGTGAACCTCTTCGTTGTTGGGTTCCATGTCCTTTGTGCGCCAATACCTTCTTCTGATCAGCACTTTGGACATGAATGGTGGGATGGCCCCAATGGCCTCTGTTCTCTTTCTCTTCCATACTTCATTGAGATATCGAACAGCAATCGGCCACCATTCGATACCTACCTGCGCGCCACGCAGGATTTTCTTCGTCTCTGTCTTCATGGCTTGTACGGCCCTTTCTGCTCGGCCGTTGGTTTGAGGGGATACCCCTGGGGTTGTTGTTGTGAGGATGCATCTTTCCTTGCACCACTTTTCGATGTACGCTCCAGTGAACTCACCTCCTAAATCGGAGTGCAGCTG